CCCAGCGGGCCTCCCGGGCGGGGTGGGGATACCTGCCCGAGAGAAGTTCGTGGTAGGGGGTGGTGGACGGAAAGCGGGGCGCCTCTCGGTTCCCCACTCGGCTGGGCGTCCAGTTGTGGTCGCCTTCTCTCAAAGAAGGAGGTGGTGGAGAACAGGCTTCTTCCCTGGACCCCTCACATCTTGCTAGGAAGAGGCAGAAAGGAAGAATTGCCATTGCTGCCCTATTGCTGAGGGATGTAACCACTCTCTCCGTAAGAGACGGGTCCAAAGAGTTACGAATACATAGAACCGAAACTGAAGTTCCCCGACTCTGGCTGCACTGTAGTTTCAGCTTTTGACACTCCCCCTAGATGGGACGGAAATAGTTTCTGAGTCAAAAGACGAGGCACATGATATAGTGTGTATTGGGTTCAGTGAACCATTCCTTAGAGGTAGGACATGATGAAAACTTGTTGGTTTGGAGGAATTTGGATGAATTAAGTGAAGGCCGGAGTAAGACCGAGAGAGAAACCATTTATGGAATCTTCCTTTGCTCTTCTACTTATTAGCTGTGGGATATTAGACAACCTGCTTATTAATACGCGTCCTATAACTGATTAGCATTGTTATTAAATATAGTTATTTCTGTATTAGTCTTTATTTCTTCAGCAAGTATTTTGAATACCTGCTTGGTGTGAAACTTTCTGCTAAACACTGGGCGTACAGTATGGAAGACACACTTTGAGAAACCTCGTTATCTTGTGGGGAATGCAGATACTGAACAAGTGATGAAGCATATTTTGCTATTATAGATGAAGTGCAGGGATCGTATAAATGAGTCAGGGGTGATCTCCCTAAGAAACTGATATAAGTTGAGACCTGAAGGGTAGAAGTGAGCCAGGTGTGAGGACAGGGGTGGGGCCAGGAGGAGGGAAGGGAGTGCCCTTGGAAAGGGAAGAGCATTGGTGCAGTTAAGAATTGAAAGGTCAATAAGGCTAGAATACAGTTAAAGAGGAAGAGTAGTAAGAGATGAGGCAGGAAAGTTATTCAAGTCCAGCGAGGAGAGCCTTATAAGACATTTTAAGAAGTTTAGACTTAATTGCTTAAGAGCGGTAGGAAGCCATTGGAAGGTTTTATGTAGCAGAATGATGTGATAGATTTCGGTTTTTAGAAGGACAAGAGTGGATACAAGGAGATATTCAAGCATGAGATGATGGTGGCCAAAACTGGATTGTGACCTTGGGGATGGAAGGAAGTAAAAACATTTAAGAGGTGTATAAGAAGAGTGGATAGTACTTGGTGAGGATTAAATATACGGGGTGAAGGTGAGAAGGGTAAGAGTAGTATATAGGATTTTGTAAAACAGACTCTGGCAGTTATTCGTTAACTTTTTCTGTATTCAGATTGACTCTTCTATGCTCCATTTTTACCTGCCTCTCAAGTAATTTCCCATTTAATCATTAGTGATGGCAAACCATTTGAAAAGGATTATAATGTTCTGTTGTTTTACTCTCTGATGTAGGCTGTTTGTCTTTTGAAAAAAGTCAGAATGGGGAAAGACTTGTAAATTAGCCATTTAAAAATAATATTCTTACAGCTAGCCAACAAGCACATGAAAATGTGCTCAACATCACTAATTGTTAGAGAAATGCAAATCAAAACTACAATGAGATATCACTTCACACCAGTCAGAATGGCTATTATTAAAAAGTCTACAAATGATAAATGCTGGAGAGGTGGTGGAGATAAGAGCACCCTCCTACACTGTTGCTGGGAATGTAAATTGGTACAGCCACTATGGAAGACAATATGGAGGTTCCTTAAAAAACTAAAAATAGACTTATTCTGGGATCTGTCGATCCCACTCCTAGGCATATATCAGGAGAAAAATATAATTCAGAAAGACACATGCACCCCAGTGTTCACAGCACCACTATTTACAATAGCCAAGACACGGAAAGAACCCAAATGTCCATCGACAGATGACTGGATAAAGTAAATGTATATATGTTTGTATGTGTGTGTGTATATATATATACAATGAAATACTACTCAGCCATAAAAGATAATAAAATGATGCCATTTGCAGCAACATAGATAGACCTGGAGATTGCCATTTTAAGTGAATTAAGCCAGAAAGAGAAAGAAATACGCCATATGATATTGCTTATATATGGAATCTAAAAAAAAAAAAAGGACACAAATGAACTTATCTACAAAACAGAAACAGATTCACAGACATAGAGAACAAACTTACGGTTACCAGGGGCTAAAGTGAGTAGGAACGGATAAATTGGGAATTTGAAAATTACATCTCTTAGGGAGTGATGGAAATGTTAGCTATCTTGTTTGTGGTGGTGGTTTCATGGGTGTATACATCTACCAAAATTCATCAAATTGTACATCTGAAGTAAGTGTAGTTTACAGGAACCATACCACAATAAAGTTTTTTTTTTTAAAGAATGTCATCACCTTAGGGTCTGTTTCCTAAATAAATACTGGACTGGCAAAAAAATTTTTTTTAATTAAAAAAATAAAAATAATACTCTGCCATGTTGGTTTTGGCCCGTAAAAGGGTGACTGCATCTATTCCATGCTATAAATGTGCTGTACTTTATTATGTGCTTGTTTTCCTTTACTTTTTTCTAAACTTTTACCTCAGTGCAGAATAGAGCTAGTCCTTTTATTTCTATCAGGTAGATTAATATGTGTGTGTAATTAGGGAGAGTGATAGTAAATGAAGACAGAGAAATAGATAAGATTGCTCATAGAATGTGTACAGTGAAAGAAAAGCTTAGGCTTGGGATTGGACATCCAAAGGATAGATTCAGAATGAAGAGCCTGCAAGGAGATGGAGAAGGAGAGACCAATGAATTAGGAAGAAAATCTGGAGGCTGGTCTTTGGAAACTAATGGAAGGGCGGGTTTCAGAAGATAAGAGGATTCAAAAATGTCAAAGGTTTGAAGAATGTGCAGGATAGTGAGAGAAAAGTACCCATTGGATTTAGGAATTTACAAATTATTTCAGAACTTGGCAGAGCAGTTTGTTGTGTAGTGGAAGCCACTGTTGAGTTGGTGTGAGGAATAAATCAAATATTGGCTGTCAAGGAGACAGCGATTTGAACTTGGAAGAGGAGATGGGGATTAGTGAGGATTGTTTTTGTTTTGTTGTTTCTGTTTCTGTATTTGGGGGGGGTATCATTTTTTTAAAGAGCTTTACAAATGTTTAAGTGCTAATGGATAAGAAAGAGTGGGAGTTTGAAGAGAGCAGAGAGTGTGAAGTTCTGGAAGAGATACATGTTTGACTAAAAGATTTAGCCTTAGATAGGGAAGGAATACCCTTATTTCTTTGAGGGGATGTAGAGTTGGATTTGTAGTGTTGAAAATTCAAGTAAGCTCCCTCTTGATGCCTCTGTTAGAGGCAGTGTCCTCTGGTGAGAATGTGGTGGGAAGTGGATGTCAAGAGATTTGAGGATAAGGAAGAGAGTTTTGAAGTCACACAGAATGAGAGTGTGTTGACCAGAGAAACACAGAAGTATGTCTCATGAATTGAGTGGCAACCATTTAGCCTGGTGTGTGATATTTTTTTTCTCCAATTGTTCAGTTGTCTGAATCCAGACTGTACCATCAATCCTTTAAGGATATATATTCCAGCATATTTGTTGAATGGTTCTACAATACATAGGACTGATGTTTACAAAAATGTAATGCACTCTAGATAATCCCAGTTTCTCATACTTAAGTAAAAGGATAAAACCTAAATATTCCAAAGGAAGATATTTTCTTTACTGCTATGTAGTATGCTAAGTAAGATATGATTGAATGGAAACATAATTGAGGAAAATCAGAATTCTTAAGCAAATAAATTTAGCTGTAAGAAATATAGTTGCTGAACATGTAAAATTAGTAGGAATACTTGGAATTTCCCAGAGACCCCAAAGTTGTCACCTAGTGACACTCTTCTCCAGCCAAATGGGTAGTTAAGGGTAAATTCCAAGTTATCTTCCTGTTGGATCTTTCTTTTAGTGTCCTGCTTTCAGAACATGTAAATAAACTGATCACAAACTAGTTACTTTTTTGAGTTTTTGTCTGATTGAGTTCTATGGATATTCAGTGTGATCATGAGCCATTGTATGGATTATTTCTGAAATCATATACTAGAAAATTTGAAGAATTATCTAGTAGATAGTTAAGTTGTTTTTTTGACTCCTATCATGTTTGAAGTACAACTTGTAGGGGCACTTAGGATTGAAATAATTGTCTGGGTCCTTTAACAAACAATTGTTGTGGTAACTTTTTTAGAGTAAAACTATAGAGTTTTTAATTTACTTTGTAATAAATATTGGTCAGCATTCCAGCTTTTCAGTTTTGACTAGGAAGTTCAGGAATTGGTTTGCTAGAGAGATTGTACTTAGATTTGGCAAGTAGGTTTGATAAAGTAATTTAGTAGAAGTAAAAGTACAGGGAGAATTATGGGTCAGCTTTAGTGACTGAGTAACTTTAATACAGTTAAACTCCTAATAAGTTTATTAAACACTATTAAAACTAAGATTTTATAGCATTTTAGAGGTGCCTGGTAAAAAGATATAGAGGATTTTAGGCACAGTAATGGTCACTATTACAGGATACTGGTGCTTTTCAAATTAGATATAATGATGAAGTCCCTCATTTCACTTGAGAGTTGAGCAGCTTTCCATTGTGCCAAACCCATCTGCTATATCTCAGCTAAGCTGAATATCTCATCTTTGTATGTTCTTGAAAAGCCAGATATTGGAATAAAAATGGATTAGGTGAACTCCTCACTATCTCTGGAAAAACAATTTCATTGATGGTGAGTTAGTCATACAGTTGTAGCCTATGATGAGTAGAAAGTGCCTCCATTTTTGTTTGGATAAACTGCAGAGTTTTTAAGCCAAAGACAGTTACAATTAAGATACATGCAAGTCAGATTTTAAATTAGGTTACAGAACAAACTTAATTTCTTACTTATTCATTATTTTTATAAAGAAAATACATGTTAAAGGTACATTATATAAAATTAGTAATGAAATATTTTTCTTTTTTTTCTTCTAGATCACTATAAACAAATGCCACCGGAGAAAATGCTGAAATAGAAGTTACAGGTGCATTGGATTTGCTGGATGAAATACAAGCACTTAATTTTTGTAACGTGGGGAGAAAGCCAAAATTGACAGATTAATGTGTAAATCACTGCGTTATTGCTTTAGTCACTGTCTCTATTTAGCAATGACAAGACTGGAAGAAGTAAACAAAGAAGTGAACATGCATTCTTCAGTGCGTTATCTTGGCTACTTAGCCAGAATCAATTTACTGGTTGCTATATGCTTAGGTCTTTATGTAAGATGGGAAAAAACAGCAAATTCCTTAATCTTGGTAATTTTTATGCTTGGTCTTTTTGTTCTTGGAATTGCCAGCATACTCTATTATTATTTTTCAATGGAAGCAGCAAGTTTAAGTCTCTCCAATCTTTGGTTTGGATTCTTGCTTGGCCTCCTATGTTTTCTTGATAATTCATCCTTTAAAAGTGATGTGAAAGAAGAATCTACAGAATATTTGCTTCTAACTTCCATAGTGTTAAGGATATTATGCTCTTTGGTGGAGAGGATTTCTGGTTATGTCCGTCATCGACCCACCTTACTAACCACAGTTGAATTTCTGGAACTTGTCGGATTTGCCATTGCCAGCACAACTATGTTGGTGGAAAAGTCTCTGAGTGTCATTTTACTTGTTGTAGCTTTGGCCATGCTGATTATTGACCTGAGAATGAAGTCTTTTCTAGCTATTCCAAACTTAATAATTTTTGCTGTCTTGTTGTTTTTCTCCTCATTGGAAACTCCCAAAAATCCAGTTGCTTTTGCCTGTTTTTTTATTTGCCTGATAACTGATCCTTTCCTTGACATTTATTTTAGTGGACTTTCAGTGACTGAAAGGTGGAAACCATTTTTGTACCGTGGAAGAATTTGCAGAAGACTTTCAGTCGTTTTCACTGGAATGATTGAGCTTACATTTTTTATTCTTTCAGCATTTAAACTTAGAGACACTCATCTCTGGTATTTTGTAATACCGGGCTTTTCCATTTTTGGAATTTTCTGGATGATTTGCCATATTATTTTTCTTTTAACTCTTTGGGGATTCCATACCAAATTAAATGACTGCCATAAAGTTTATTTTACCCACAGGATGGATAACAATAGCCTTGATAAAATCATGGCATCCAAAGGGATGCGTCATTTTTGCTTAATTTCAGAACAGTTAGTTTTTTTCAGTCTTCTTGCAACAGCAATTTTGGGAGCAGTTTCCTGGCAGGTAAGCTTATAGTTTGTTTATTATGTCAGTGCTTATAATGTGTGATTAAATGCTTACTTCAAGAGTTGAATTATTAGAATTAAAAGGTCAAGTTACTGATTTCGAAAGGTAATTTTTTTTTTCGCACACTTATTTTTATTCCTGGAATTGAAGTACTGAATGAATATTGACAGGATAATTCCATTTGATCTAGCACGAGGTACCAAAATGTTAGGAATACTTAGCATACAACATGCCTCCTACCTTCTGATTATTCATTAATGAAACACTCATAGATTAAAGATCCTTAGAATATTAACATTTAAAGGGTGCTTAGAAATTGTGCTTAAATTTTAATTTTACACATGAGGAAACTGAAAGCCAGAGAAGAGATATCCAGAATCACTGGAGCAGCTACTATCTAGTCTTTTGGTCTCCTCACTACATTTCTTTTATATAGCCTTTTCCCTAGAGATTTTATATAAAAGGTGATTAGACATATATCATGTTCTTAATTACAAATTAGAGCCTCTTCTAAGAAAGAAAAAATGAGTTTTACAATATTTTGCTTCCCACAGTATGTTAAAAAAAAAAGTCTTGTAGACAGACATTCAAACTATATGGTTGGAATTTGTATCTGTAGTATTAACATACCTAGTTTTCATTCTCTGAACAGTTGTTGACTGCACTATATATCAGGTACTATACTCGTGCTGAAAATCTCAAGATGAGTAAAACAAAAAATGACTCTGTCCTTAAAGAAGGTACAGTCTCTAATGGGAGGTGGAAGAGGCAGTCATGTAAACAATTATTATTACAGTGTGACAGATGCTATAATTTGGGTACATCAAGTTGGGATGGAGGGCAAAATTGAAGGTGATCGTTGCTTGGTGCATTTCTCTGCTTTGCACCAGTTAGTTGCGGTAGAGTGATTTCTAGATAAGAGTGTTTGAAGGTGGAGTTGTGGAGACTTGACTGAGCATGGTGCTTTTTGTCGGTGTGGGCTAGGGCATGGAGCCTGTGTGGGAGTCAACCACATGAGACTTAAAAAAAAAAAAAATCAGGGTGTTGCCCAAGGATTTCTTACTCTACTTGTCAGTGGTTGGGACTATCAGAATGATGGTGATGAATGAAGTTGGTAACTACCAAGAGTTCTCCTTCCTCTTTCTCCCCTCTCTCCTTCCAGACCATCAAATTCTGTTAACCAAAATTTTTTAAGTCATCAAATTCTTCTTATTTTCTTACACAAGTGGTCTTCAAACATGGTATATGTACCACTGGAGGTACACAAAAGCTTTCCAATGGGTATGTCAGCAAAGATAATATTAAGACCATCAATTTCCAGATTCTTTCTTTCTATTCTACTCTTCCTTAGTTTATCTACTTGAGAATGCCCCTTAATTTAGATGTGGCATGCTATCTTATAGTGGTTTTAATTTGCATGTCTCTAACGACTAATGATATTGAGCATCTTTTAATATGTGTATTAGTCATTTACTTATCTTTGTTGAAGTATCCAAATCTTTTTTGATCTAAATTGGGTTCTCTTCTTATGAATTTTAAGGGTTATTTTTATATTCTGAATACAAGCCTTTTATCAGATACATAATTTGGAAATGTTTTCTCCTAGTCTGTGGGTTATCTTTTTCCCTTAGTGATTCTTTTGAAGAGTGCAAGTTTTTAACTTTATGAAATTTAATTTGTCAACTTTTTCTTTTATAGACTGTGCTTTTTGTATCATATCTAAGAAATCTTTGCTCAACACTAGGTCACAAAGGTTTTTCTCCTACAGTTTTGTTTTAGCTTTTACATTTAGGTGTATGATCCATTTTGAGTTAATCTTTGTTATGGTATGAGGTAAGGATCTTTTTTTTTTTTTTTGTATGGCATTCTAATTGTTCCAGCACCGTTTGTTGAAAAGACTATCCTTTCCCCTTGTTGAATTGCCTTGGCACCTTTGTCCAACATCAATTAAATGAAAGTCTTTATATCCAAGCTCTCTTTTTTGTTCCATTGATCTATATATCTATCCTTATACCAGCATTATGCTGTCTCACAAGATATTTTCTAATTTCCCTTGAAATTTCTTCTTTGACCAATGATTATTTAAAAATTTGTTGTTTCATATTATAATATTTGGGGTGTTTCCCACATTTCTTTCTGTTGTTGATCTCTAATTCCATGTGATTGGAGAATATAGTTTGTATGATTTTAGTCTTCTATTAAGACTTGTTTTGTGGCCTGGCATGTGTTTTATTCTGGAGAATACACCATGTTTACTTGAAAAGAATGAATATTCTGCTGCTGTTGAGTAGAATGTTCTATAATTATAAGCTAGGTTAAATTGGTTGGTGGTGTGGTGTTCCTGTATCTGTATCCTTGCTGATTTTCTGTCTAATTTTGAGAGGGTGCTACTGAAAATCTCCATTAAAATCACTAAACTGTATTTCTCCATTCAGTTCTGTTATTTTCTTGCCTCGTGTTTTGGAGCTCTGTTCCTAGGTTTATATACTTCTTTAATTATACCTTCTTAATATTGACTTTTTTTTATCATTATGATAAACAGCATAGTTGAATAGTTACAACAGAGGCCTAATGACTCGTAAAGCCTAATATTACCTCCCTTTACAGAGTTTGCCAACTCCTGTTTTAGGCTAGTGCTTCTCAAACTTTAATATGCATAGAAATCATGTGGGGATTTTGTGCAAATTCTGTAAGACTGGAATAATTTGTCGGGGGACAGCCTGAAATGCTGAATTTCCAACAATCTTCAAGATGATGCAGAAAGTCCTGATTATAAGTACACCCACTGAGTGGCAAGGTATTAGCTATTCAAGATTAATGTATGTCTACCAGCGTTTTGTCAGCATTAGTTGCAATTTGGTAACTGCTGCCTATGGTGTAGGCATTGTCTTTGATGCAATTAATTTTAACTTTTAACTAATCTTCTGTGTTCTGCCCAGTGTTCTGAGATGATGTCAGATTCTTTCAATTAGGTTTTAGGCTTTTTTGTTTAACTATATTAACATTCCTAAATGATATTGATACTGATTAGCTTTTCAGTAGTAAACCCACTTTTCACTTGTCTGTGAGAGTAATACTGAAGTGTAAAACTGATTTTCCCCACTGTCCCATTAAAATACCATTCATTGAATGGATTTCCACTGGAAAAACGGTTCCACTGATTTGGTGTTGGCAGACCCAATGTGGCAGGAAGAAAATGAGGAACTAAAGCCTTTTGAGTGAGCCGTCAATAGGATCAGTGAAAATAGAGAGAGACTGAAATCAAGATTAGTTAGATTTTGTTGAAAGTAAAATTTAAAGAGAATTTGAAATAAATTGATGAAATGTAGAGTTGAGTGTTCTAACATAGTAGATAGTCTAAATGTTAAAAAGATGTTGAGAGAATGGGGGGAGCAGATAGGAATGTAGGATGGTGGATTTCATTGAGTTAATGACCTAACGGGCATTTGTTATTGACACAGCACTTTTGGGGTAGGTTTATATTTTTTGAAGTGTATTTTTAGGCAGTCAAATGTACTCTCATTTTGCTACCAGAAAAGTAAAACCAAACAGACAAAAACATGAGATTAATCTGCTTGATGGAGCACAATTATAGCTAGACCTTAATTCCCAAAAATGGGCTTAGTCACTTTTTGTTATTTTAAGCTTTTTTGCATGTCAGTAGTTTGGGGTTTTGTTAGTTTTACATAGCTTAATTACAAAAATTTTTTATTAAGAAAATTTGCATACATTAATATTCACCCTTTTTTGGATACAATTCTGCGATTTTGACACATACAGTTGTATGACCACCACAATCAAAATACAGAGCATTTCCATCACTCCCCCAGATTTCCTCCTGCTCCTATATAGTCTTTCCTTCTCCCAACCCCTAGTACTTTGCAACTAATCTGCTTTGTCGCTAGACAGTTTTCTAGAATGTCACATACATGAACTCATACAGTGTATAGCTGTTTGAGTCTGGCTTCTTTCACTTAGCGTAATTTATTTGAGGTTCATCTATGTTGTTGTGTTATATGGGTCTATTCCTTCATATTACTGAGCAGTATTCCATTAACGCAGATGTCTCATGGTTTATTCATTACTCAATTGAGGGATGTTGAAATTAGTAATTAATAAATAAAGCTGCTGTAAACATTCATAGGGTTTTGTGTTAATGTAAGCTTTTATTTTACTTGGTGTGGGATTGCTGGTGTGGGTCATATGATAAACATATCAGCCATGTTTAACTGTATGAAGAACCACACTGTTTTCCAAAGTGGCTGTACCATTTTGCATTCTCACCAGCAGTATATGGAAGTTCCAGATGCTCCACATACTCACCAGTTCTTGATATTATCTGTTTGTTTTTTAACCATTCTAATAGGTGTGTATTGGTAACTCACTGTGGTTTTATTTTCTATTTACCTAGTAGCTAACGATGTTAAGTATCTTTTCATGCAATTGTCATGAAAAGTTAAGATTTCTTGGCAATTTTAAAAATTGGGTTGTTTTCTTAATATTAAGAGTTCTTTATATAGTCTAGATATGTCTTTTATTAGATATATGACTTGCAAATATTTGCTTCCAGTGTTACTTGTGTTTCGAAGAGAAGTTCTTAATTTTGCTATAGTACAATTTGTCTTTTTTTTCTTTATGAATCATCTTTTGGTGTCATATCTAAGAAATCTTTGACTTCATTTGAGTAGAATCTCTGACTAGTCCCACATGGATAGCTTTGTTTTTTGTTAGTTTTACTGAGTTTAATATTTTTGGAATGAATCAGTAGTATCATTCTGAGTCATTTACATTAAAAGCTGGAATTTTACCATTAACTTCTGTTGTGTTTTGTTCGTAATCTCATTCCAGTTTTAAAATGCAACATTACAGCTGTTGTTTCCTGCAGTTTGTATTATGTTCATTCAATGTGCTATTTGCTTTCCTCGTTTGTACTTTTTCTCTTAAGTCAATAAAAAGTACTTACACGGTACCATAGCCATTTGGTACTAGTTTCATTG